TGTCCTGTGACTATATGCCCTTGTAAAATGTCCCTCTCTAGTCTTCTTGTAAGCCTGTAAGGTGCTGAAGACTGGAAGATCTCCCTGGAGCTGTCTTTTTTCCAGGCTGAACAGCTCCAGCTCTCTCAGCCTCTCTTCATAGGAGAGGTGTTCCAGCTCTCTGATGATCTTCATGTCCCTCATCTGGAACTACCTCAACATGTTCATGTCCTTCTTATGTTGGTGTTCCCAGAGCTGGATGCAGCACTCCAGGTGGGGTCTCACAAGAGCAAAGTAGAAGGGGAGAATCAGCTCCCTTGACCTGCTGGTCACGCTTCTTTCTATTCAGTCCAGGATATGACTGGCTTTCCAGGCTGCAAGAGCACATCACCACGTCATGTTGAGCTTTTCTCCAACCAATTCTATGATTCACTCGAATCATGACAGTTTGATTTGCTACAGATAACTGCTCTGGCACACAAAACTTGCAGGGAAGATCAAGATACAAACAAAATGCAACTGTGGAGCTACCTGTGATTTTTTTAAGCAGTTAACACTCATTACTGACATCAGCTGGAGGGAAATCAAGACTTACAGAAATGGAGTCACCCATCTGCATACATTACAGGTGAGATGGTACAGTCACTTGAGCTTTCTCATGTTAAAGCATGCCTCAGTGCTGCCTGAGACAAGCAGAAATGGCTAATTTGCTCTATGAATTTATTCAGTCTTTGATTACCTTTCTCTCACTTCCATCAAGCTCTAAACAGTGCCATGGATTACAGCATTTTTTATGAGAGCACTGAAAACTAAGTAAATATCTCACTATTAAAAAACCACAAGCAGAAAATGTAGTTGACCTTTGAAGGGACAGTGTGCCAAATGTGGAGTCTCATTCCAGTCACTAACAAAAAGGTAAAACAGAAGTTTAGTTTGTTTTTCTTTTACAAGTATACCTCAGCATAATCTTAATCATGGAACCTTGACATGTTTGGAATTGCAACATTTTGTTTTCCGGAGCATTCAGTGTACTTAAGAGAGGTATGTTTAACTGTCAGTTTAATTCTGAGAAGGCAACTGTGAAGACAAGACACAATTCATCTTGACTCAAGCAACCTCCAGATATGTCTGTAAATTCACTTGGCATTGCCTGCAGATGTGTTCAATGTCTGGGACAAACCATCAGAATAAAAATCTTCTTTTCTAATTGTCAAGGGGTAATTCAGCACTTCACAGAGCACCCAGAAAGAGAAAGGCATTTCAAACATCCCCTTTTGATTAATAGTAATTTTCTAACCCCCTGCTTTAGCTTTACCTCAAGATAATGAGGACATCACAAACTAAACATGTCAAAGCCATCAAAAAGCGTACATCCTATCTTACTAATCCTTTAAAGTACATACCATTAGAGCTACCATGAATAAAATATTGTGAAACCATATATTCAAAAATACTGCAGAATTTACTGAGTGTATTATTCATCTAACCATTGGTAATAGTTAATATTATTCATCAAAAGCCACAGGTTAAGGGATTGGTTCTTACATACACTGCTGAATATGACCAAGCAGGACATTATTTTCCAAACAGTGTCACAGGAAACTGCAACACTGAAATGTGACATACGAAACTGAAAAGCATGCTTATTTCCAAAACCACTACTAAAAGTGTGGTGTAAACAGCCAATTCCGCCAAATCTGTGTCAGGTCTTTTACATTATAAATGATAAAAAAGCCAAAGTACAGATACCACTCTACATCACCTTCACTGAATCCCACATGATTACTATGCTAAAACTAGGAGTACAGCTATCATGTTGAGGTGCAGATAAGATGCACTTATAAGAACTGCATTTCTGTTTGTTTTGGATACAACATGTAAGAACACCAGTACTGCACCATCAGTCCATCTCCTGGACCCAGGAGTCTTCCTCCCTGCGGGTTCCCTGGGTCTCTGGTGCACAGGTTAAGCTGGTCCTTGCAGTAAACCACCTTTCAGGACTACAGTTCAGTATTTGACTAGAACAGTACTAGTTCACCATATGATCCTAATTCAGAAGGCATTTAGGGGACCACGGAAAAATACATGACAGCATACCTCTGGTGTCCTTTATCTACTCTTGTTCCAAGTGTTTTTCCCTATCAACTATGGTCAATGACTCCACTTTCTTCTTATGGCTGAACACCAAAATTTCTTGTTCTTCCCTGGTTTAATGGTAAATCATAGAATTAACTGGGTTGGAAGAGACCTTGGAGATCATCAAGTCCGACCCTTGATCCAACCCCACTGTGATTACTAGATCACTGCACCCAGTGCCACATCCAGCCTCATCTTAAAAACCTCCAGGGACTGTGAATCCACCACCTCTCTGGGCAGGCCATTCCAATGCCTGATCACTCTCTCTGGAAAGAACTTATTTCTAATATCCAACCTAAACCTCCCCTGGCAGAGCTTAAGCCCGTGCCCTCTTGTCCTGCTGCTGATTGCCTGGGAGAAGACACTGACCCCCATCTGGCTACAACCTCCTCTTTGCATGCATCCATACAAAGCTGCACAATCAGTCAAATGGAGCTCACTACCAGAGGTAACTACCACTTCCAGGTCCTTCCCACTCTGGGGGTTCATATCCTTAAATGAAGGTCACCTAAAAAGCATGGAGCCCACTGAACAGCTCATAGGCTCACTGGTAAAGCAAGACCATATCTTTGATTTGTTCAGCAGACGCCCTGAAGAAAAACTACAGTGTCTGGATACCATCTTGATTAAAAAGGTGTCCAGCTGAAACACACCCATGACTTCAACACTCAACAGAAGACATGGATTGTCCAGTTGTAACTTCTGGGTGCCTACCAAGCCCAGTGTTGTTAAGAGTGCTCCTTATTGTCTGAGATGTGGTCAATTGTTTTATTGTATTAGGAAGTTCTTCATGTGAGAATTCAGTGTATCTCTCCATTAAGTTACTTGCAATTCACTCCACTGAAGTGACTGAAAGCAATGTCATATGGAAAGTGGGTATAAGACCAAAAAACAGTACAAAACGATATGTAATTAAGTGCTGTTCTTTCGTAGGTTAATGCTAGTAAAAATTAAGGTTAATATTGAAAAAAATAAGATCAGAGGAAAATAATATACCACCTTAAGGTACTGGTCATTCATTTCTACATGGCTTTATCAAAGTATCAATTAACATTTAATCCTGTTAAAAGGTGCTCAGTGTACCCATGTTAAGTACAGCGTATTCATGTTTCAGACCAAGAGTACCTTTTGGTCTACTGCATGACCTTCAGCAAGATGTCTTAGACTTTCCTGACTAGTTACACTGCAAATTTTTCAATAGAGTGAATTTTACTCTGTGCATGTAGCTGTACTGCATGCCACTCAAACAATGGTTGAAAGGGCTCAGCACGTAACAAAATCACTCATGAAAGGCCTATATCTATGCTAGCATTAATGAGACTTTCAATATTGACTTCAACAGCAACAGTCATGACTCAAACATCAATTACCAGAAATAAAGTAAAACTGAGTTTACCAGCTTATTAATACGTAGAACCAGTAGTCACTTTCAAAACCGAATTTCATGGTATTTTATTTGCCAGCATAACTTTCAGTCAAGTGTAGTTCAGTTATTTAGTTGCTTATTTTCCCAAAACCTCTATTTGCATGCATGATTTTTAAAATAAATATAGAAACAGTTCCTGAAAAATCATTAGATAGAAGAACTCAAGTCATGATATGCTCTTTCTTCTTCCACTTACCCAAAGCTAGTAGAAACTATTTGCAGCTATGTTGGTCATGCCAATATTATTATATAACAGGACTTGCATGTAGCTTCTTACAGATCTACAGATACAGATTTAAAATTAACTGGCTAGGGTTTAAGCATTGTTCCACTTTACTTCAATATGGAAGAGAGCTAGATAAAAACAATTCAGCAAACATCCTGTAGAAAATTGTTTTCATCTTTAATGAAAATTCTCAGCTTCAGATGCTTTTCAAAAACATTCAGCTGTAAACATGGAAAAAAAGTTTGCTAAACTAGACTCAGTTCAATTTATTAAGCAAAACTTTATGAATATATTATTCAGTAATATTTCAACAAGGTTTACAGAAAAGATGCTTCTGTTCTTTCATCTCCCAATAAAGCTTAAGACCTACACAGAACTAAACTGTAACATGATTTGTTTCCTGACATTTATATAGTATATCAAATATTTAGCAGTTTACTTGTAAACTTCTTTGACACAAGCAAGGTAATCAATAACATTCCCCCATACTGTCTAAATACCTGTGCTAAAATATGATGCTTACTCAAACTGCAATCCAACTTATGATCCATTCTGATGAAACAAAAATTAGGGTATAAGACAAATCTGGACTGTCTACTCCTCTTGAAAGCACAATACAGTTTATTCTACATAGTTTTTAAACAAGTATTAAAACCTGTGTAGCTCTTATCCATGATTCTAAAGTAGTATTGTGTAGAGTTGTTAGAAGTGTCATTAGCAGTCAAATCTAAACACTGCCACTTGAATTTCTAACTAAAGTTGGCTGTCACTCACAATAAATTATAATGAAGACCTACAGTGAAGCCCACTCTTTGGAGGGTTTAATTGGGATTTTGCCCTTGATCTTAACAGGACCAACATCTACTCAAGGTTTATAACGTTAGAATACTTCACTACATGCCGATAGGTACAGAAACACAGTGTTTCAGTTCATTTAGAATTATCTAATATGAACTAGCATAAGACAGCTATAGCAAGCATCGAATCAGAAGCTTAGCAGAAGTTGCCTACTAGTAAAGGTTATTGTATGTCTGAAGAAATTAAAGGAAGTATTAGCTATCCTGCATTTAATTTACCTGCTTGACAATTATGCCTAGGATTTTGAGTGGTGAATTAAATTCCCTCTTCAGCTCAAAATCACCTGCAGTTTGAGCTGCTGGTAGCAAAAAAATGTTATCCTGGTCAGCCCTGATGCACTCAGCCCTAGAGAAGTATAGGGACCCTTCCACTCACCAAACACAAAGGTTCTCCCCCGAATATCATCCCTTTAACAACTGAAGGGGAAAAGGAGCAGAAGCAAGACCTTGATTTCATTCAGTGCCTATAAAAAAGCAAAGGCATTTTAATGTGATGTCTTGATTAATTTATTCTAAGCTCCGTTTATCCAAACTACTTAACTCTAAAGTGCACAGTCCTGGAAAGAATATCACATGCTGTATTACCCTTAAGAAGTTCAAGTGGTAGTCAGTGTATGTAAAAGACTGGCAGGAAGGTAACTGTTAGATATTGACAATATTGACTTCAAGAGGTCTTGGGATACACATCTTTCTATTTACTCTTTTTATGAATGATTTCTTCATTCGTTATTTTGGTCACAATTGACATTCTGTAACTAAAATAAACCAGTAGTTTTTCTCTTTTCTTCGCAAATTGTCAACTACATTAACCTTGTCAAGAAAGCCCACAAGAATAAAATCGATATAGCAATTTAAGGACAGAATTGGCAGGCATTATATTGTACTTGGACGCATCCAGTAAATAGCCTCATACATCAAACTACCGTCATCAATGGCAACATTCTGAAACCTACTAATGTTGTTTATTACATTTGCAGTGTGAAACGCCAAAGTAAGTACAGATATCGGTGCAGCAGATGAAAAATAACACGGAAATAATATCTGACATGCTTGAAAAGCACGGAGTAGCGACTCAGGTGTCATTTAAACGCTCTGTACATCCAGCACGGAGAGCGGCTGCTCTCTACAAGCGATACGGTACCAGCGGCGACCTGCTCGCCCATGCAGAAGCCGCAGTGGGAGCTCCGGGATCCACCGCGCCCCCCCTCCCCGCGTCCCGAGCGCCAGCTCCGGGCAGTGCCGTCCGTCCTGTGCCCCTTCCCCAGGATGGCACCGCACATGCCGCCGCTGCAGGTCGGAGCTCTTACAACCCACTCCCTCTTCCACCCCTGTTTCTGGTTGCACTACCAGCCGGGGTCTGACTCCCCCGGCATCCCCATCCCCGCTGCTCTCTGGACCCTCGCGGCTCTCCCGCCCCGCGTCCGCTCTCCCGGGGTGGCGGGTGGGAAAGGGCAGGCGGCGAAGTTCTCGGGACTTACGGTGGCAGAGCTCCCAGCACTGGCGCGGCACCTCTCCCGGCCTCCCGTCACCTCGGGCCACCTCCACGGCGGCTCGGCGCCCGCTCCGGCGCAGCCCGGACGCCCCTTCACTCCTCGGAGGAGCTCATGGGGCCGCCCGCTCTCCGACACCCGCCCGGTGGGTCCCCGCGTCCCGGAGGTGGCGGACAGGCACCAGCCAGGGTCGAGCCCCTCTGGCGGGGCTGCGCCTCGGGCAGCATCTGCCTCCTCTCGCCCTCGCCGCGCCCACCCCCCGCTCCACCCCGGGCGCCGGCGGGGCTTCGCGCAGACGTCGGTGCGGGGCGGCCGGAGCCCGCCCGGCGGCGGCGGCAGCGCCTCCTCCACCCCCGCCTCCCCGCAGCTCCCGGCCGCTCCTGCCGCCGGGGCAGCCGTGCCGGAGCCGCCGCTGCGGGGGCAGGAGGAGCGGGGGCCGCGGGCGCTCCCGACACGCCGCCTGACGGAGGAGGAGACCCGCGGCGCGGGGGCGAGGGACGCCCGGCCCGGGGGCCTGGGGCGCGCCCCCCTCGTCCCCGCCGAGGAGGAGGGGGTGGCAGCGGCAGCCCTTTGTCCCGGCGGTACCTTCCGAGCCCGGCCGGGGGTCTCCGCACCTCCGCCGGCCGGGCTGTGTCCCCAGCGAGGGTCTCAGGGGCCCGGTCGGACACCCCACCTCCTCCTCCTCTCGGAGAAGGTCCTCAAGCCCGAGCCAGCGTTCTGGTCCCATCGTGGGCACCCTTCCGAAGAGGAGATGCAGGGCGTGGAGCGTGGGACCCTGCGCTCCTGCACCTGGGCAAGAGGGGCGCTACCCCGGCAGAGGATCGCGGGCTGTCGGCGCCCCTGCCCGGCCCGGGGATGCTACCCCCCCGTCCTCCCGTTCCTCCTGTCTGCCCCGTCTCCTCTGATGCTCCTCCAGCTTGCGTGAATCATCTACCTACCGTCCACCGAGCTGGGGAGGATGAACAAGGGGCGGCCGCAGCATTCCCCGGACGGCAGAGTCATCTAAATTCCCGTTTCTGCTCCAGAAGGTGTGTCCTCGTTTTAAACCAAAGGACAGGACGAGGAAGACCTGGTTCCGATCACCTCTGGTCTCAGAAGAGAGGCATGCAGAGGCAGCTGAGCCAACAGCCCCCACCTCGCGGAAGAGCGTCGAGTGGTTGTGCCTGAAGCAGTGCAGGGAAGGACTTCTCTGCTGTGACTGCTCCAAACTACCCAATGTTTAAATATCCAGAGAGCCACAGTGAGGCTGAGAGACGGAGCGAATGCACAGTGATTCACCTCAGCACTCCTGACAAACGTGTCAGTGTGTACAGCAGGTAGTAGGGTGTCTTCCCAGCAGATGGAGTCAGGAGGCAAACAAACTTGCTCAAAAGGTACCACCAGCCGGCCGAGAACAGCTTTATTCTTTGTCCTTCTGTGCAAAGGGTGTTGCTCCATTAAATAAAAGGAAGTTTGACACTGGCTTTGAAGTTGCCTGGCTTACTTCTGAATGAAAAGTTAGCTCCCAGCGAAGCGGTTCTCAAGTGTTTTTCTTCCACCTACCGCTTTCTCTTACAGATTACAGTCAAATTTTACAGCTTGCCTTTAAGCTCACAGAAACCTGCATGCAAACCAAGCTGGCTGCCTTTCTCCAGCACAGGCCATGCTGAGGAGGGAAAGGAGCAAGGGAGATTTGTGCTGAGAAGGAGGTGCTGGGCTTAGCATGCACCAAGTTCCAAGAAAAAGGAACTCCTTGCCACTTTTTCCAGGACCTGATAAAAGAGTGCCATTAGATAATACCATCAAATAAACTTGTCCTCCTTGATACAGGAGGGGATAGGAAACCGTAATAAAAGTTGAGACACTCAAAGAATACTTATGTAAATCATCATCCCTTTATGATTCAAACTTTTGCTGTAGGTTTCACCCTTTATCCTTGCAGATAAATAAGGAGAAACAATGGAATTTGCTTTTATGAGCTTTCATAAAGCCACAATTGCTTCACAGCATTCTCTGGTAGGAACAGTGAAGTTAGGGGAGGTTCTCATTAGCTGTGCTAGGTCTGGAACCGTGGAGCAGCACCCCTATGGACTCACTGCAGTCCTGTCCCTCTTGTGCTACAGCTGTCCCTAGGTGGGCTTGGATGAGTCATGGTTCTAAGTGCTTGAGATGTTTGTGGAAGAGGAGCTGCTGAGAAGCAAAACCTTAAGCTGAAGCCTAGGGAAAGCAGAAGAATCCCCCTTCCTGTCGTTGCAGCAAAGAGGTAAAATAGAGAGCTTTTTCATGCCTGATAGCCTGGAATATTTTCTTTTCCAGAGGTTTGGGAGGGTGTGAGTGAGTGGATGACCCAATAGGTACAGATTGCTTTAAAAGATAGAAAAAGCAACTGAATTAGATGCATACACGTGATGGACTATTTATCAGTAGTTTCTTCCATAGTCCACCCATTTAGGGTTTTTTTTTATGTGTGTTGTTTGACTAATACTGTTCATTCTAGGATTGGAAAGCATCACATTTCAATGAATGGTTTTATGCTTATTTCAAAACAGATTGTATGTTGCTCTGTTTTCTTAGTGAGTAGTGTTCATTTGCTGAAGTATAAATCTGTCATCCCATAATCTGGAAATAGGTTTCCTAAGGTTTGGGTGCTTTTTTGTAAACTTCCATTTTGTTAACCATTACCTTGCACACAGAAGCAGCACTTTCCCATTTGTTCTGCTATAAGCAATTCTGTTGTGCCCCATGGGACTGCAAGCATGAGTAGTTACTATTTAGCATGTGTATAAAATACTGATCAGGCCTATAAATAACCACTGGAAAATTATTATCAACTGTACTTTGGTGGGTTTATTTCTGCTTGTGCTCAGGAGTCATTACAACACTGATTTCTGCACAAGAGAGGTGGCTAAGACAGTGGTTTATGTTGTGATATTATAGTGTTGCTTTGTACATGAAAAGTGAAGAAAGTCCAAACCTGGTTGCAAGATTTCAGTGATTTCATTCTGTTATGAGAGAAAACATTTTTCCATATAGTATGGAAAGTTGTTCATTTCTGTAGTTTGTCTTGTTTGCATCATCTTTTTTTTCCTGTAAATATAGTTTCTCTAACAGTAGTGCAAGTATGGATGTCACTTGTGAAAAAGGCACTGTCTTAATTTTCTTGGTCAGGTGCAGAATTTGAAAGAAAAATCCAAGTTCCCAGATGGACCTATAAGCTTTCCATGAATGGGTAGAGATGTTTTCTTTTTCAGATGCCTGCATTGCAAGCTGTTTGGAGGTGAACTATTTCCTATCACCATTTATCTGTCTTGGAATGGTGTACCCCATAGGAACTACCCAGAGCACAGTATCTTCAAATAAGAGTTTGTTCAGATTTAGTTTGTTTGAAGCATGGGAAGTGTGAGCATTGAGCTGTCTGCAAAAGACCATGGAGGCATGCTGTATGCTTTGATAAACAGATCATAAATAATGCATTTGAGTGAGAGCTACATTCAAAATTCAGATAAAAATTGGAAGGAGTAAAAGACATCATTTAAACAAAAATGGTAATAAATTCAACCTAATTCAGTTCAGAGTGAAAAGAATGGGAATTTGCCATTAGCTTTAGCATAAGTTGCTTCAGCACCTCTAAGGCTTCCATGGGAATATTTAATTCTTTTGCATACAGCTTTGTAACCATGACTTTGCATTCCTAGAAGTGACTTGATTGAAAACTCTGTGAATAGTTACAGCATTATCAGCAGCAGTGCAGGTTCCTAACCCTGACTGCTTGCAAACAAATCAGCTCTGTGAGGAGGAAATTCATGGAGTGGCTATACTTGCTGTTCAGGCCATGCTATCCTAACCAGATGATTTTCTTTAATTTTCAGAAAGAGAGGTCACTCTGGAATTGGGGATTTGAAGAGTCACAGGTAAACAGATTTATGAAGCTACTGCCAGTTGAAGAAGTCCATTCCAAACATGAAAGGCAACATCAGGAGAAGTATAGAAGTGCTCGAGTGGCTGGAAGACATATGAACAATTTAGACTAGGTTTATTGGAGGAACAGAACAGTGTTCTATTTCTATTCCTGAAGATATCAAGTCATGCAAGGTTTGTTTTTTTTAAGACAGCCCTTTCCAAAATTAAAGGTTCGTGTTTAATTTTATGTTAGCTTTGCTTGTAGAAATCTGAAAATCAAGACTTACTTGTTTATCTGAGATCAGGTACCTCATTAGAATGCTGTACAAATTGTCTTAATGTCACAATAGATTTATTTAAATCAGTTGCTCAATGTACAGTAATCTCAGTTTCTTAATGTACAAAAAAACCCGTGGGTAATTACATTTGTCTTCTTGCTTAAATTTCTAGTTTTAATTTATGTTATTTAATCTGTCTGAGTGTTGATTCCACAGTTCACATCTCAGGACATTCTAAGAGACTCTCTGAAACATTTTGAAATAAGAGGGGGGCAAAAAAAAGACACGTCTCTAAACGAGAATTTGTTGTCATTTTTTTAGAGGTTTTGTGTGGGTTTTTGGTTTGAGTTGTTTTTTTTTTTTTAGAAAAACAGTAATTAGGAGTCAGTAATTAGTAATTAGCAGACACAAAGGCAAAGAAATAGAAAATGAAAAATACAAGAAAATTAGTTGTATTCATGTTTTCAAAGAATAAGCAAAATAGAGACATTTCAGTTGTTAGTATTTATAATATATTCAATTTTCTATAGAAGATACTATTTTAATTTAGCAATACATGTTTTCATTAGTACAACACTCAGTAATTGGTAGCAAAAACACAGTGGGCTTTGCTTGCTCTGTATAGAGGAAGGAAAGGGAAAGCAAATAAGATAATGAAAATCTGGGCAATGGGAACATTTCCAAAGAGTGGGCACCTGATTCCCTCAGAATGAGCAATTATTTTCCATCTTCACTTGGAACTCAATACCCTGGGCCTCATTAAGCCAGTGTGTAGCTGTATATGGTTCTAGAGAGAATCTCAGCCAAACATCAAAAAGAGGAGCTTTTCAGGAGAACTAAATGCATCAACAATTGAAAGAAGTGTCCTCTCTGGTATATGTACAGTATATAAACCATAAAATATTCTAGATTACATGAATTTTCTCTGGAAACTATTTCAAGAGCCTTATGAAATGTCTACATCAGCATCCATATTTAATAAATCATACATACTTGTAAGCATCTTACATCACTGTAAATGTAATATAATGTGAAACATCAATGTAAGTTTTACATTAATTAATGAGTGAGAGTATTAATAATATTTAATAATTAATATGAGATTTTTCACATTATTTGGAGTTATAGGTAATATAACTCCAATACCATACCTGAAGGTTTTTAAACAGAGATTGAACGTGGCCCTTAGTGCCATGATATAGTAATTGGAGATCAGGGGTTGGACTCGATGATCTTGGAGGTCTTTTCCAACCCAATCTATTCTATGATTCTACGATTCTATAAGAATTTATCTATTAATATTCAAGACTAACCTATGTGTTTTCATACAGATAACATTTTCTATCTTTGAAAGAATGACCTGGGACCAATGTATTATTAAGGCTTTGCTTATCCCCTCAATATATGTTTTAAGTGAAACTAAAGCAGTGTTATAATGTCATATTGGTTTGGGAAAGAAAAGAGAACTTCAACCTCAAATCCTTACTCTGCTAGACAGAGATTTTCTATTTCTGATTAATATCTTAAGAAGTCTCATTGCTTAGAAAATATAACAGTAATAGACACATAACCGACTAAACCCCAGCTCTGGACAGTAAGTGTAGTCTTAATCATTCTCATTATCATAATTTGTTTGTCTAAAATTAAGTTCTACCCCCTCCAAACAAGTGGTGTGTAGAAATCTTGTGTTGGGTGTGAAAGTTCTCCCACAGCAACACAAGGAGTGACTGACATAGACTTGGGTGCAGAAATGTTTGCAGGATGGAGGTGTTAATCATGAACTTTAGAGGGAGACACTGCTGTCTCTGATCAGTAGAATGCCTACCAGTATTAAGACCTTATATGCATTCATGTACTTGAACAATGTGAAGGGAGGGGCCTGACACATATTTGGCCATAATGTCATCTAGTATAGGGAATTTGGGAAATGTTTCAGTTGATTATCAGTATCACAAAGAGATATTAGAGGAGAAATCTGATGGATTTTTTCTTAGATCTTTAAGATTAAATTTTCAGAATTAATTTCAAATGTGTAACCACCTTTATTCAATATTGAGGGACAGGGCAGCTGAATTGAAGAGGAAAAAGTTCAATGTTTTTGTCCAGATACATCTGTATTTCCTTTTAGCCTTTGCTTCTCCGTGACTCTGCAGTTTGTAAGATCTGTGGAGTAGGGACTAATTTTCAGTATTTCATCCAGCATCAATATTATAACCCATATTAGTCTAGAGGGTTTGACTAGCATGGGAACATGAGCTATTACTTTATAGTTAACCTTACTGTAAGGAATAGGGAGCATAATTATGAGTAGGTTTGAAAATATACAGCACGTACAGAAAGCAGGATGAGAATTTTTGCATCTCAAAGGATTTAAATTTAGATTCTGATGACAAAACAAGTAGGTGATTGCATGCAATTGGGGACAAATGCTATCCTGGAAAAGGGAAAGCTCTACAGAGACAAAATGTGTGCTTATGTTGATTAACATAACAAATTCACCTTCTCGTTTTGGGTGTTATTCTCCTCTCATTTCTCTTCACACATGCACACAAGCACAAGTACATATTTATTCCAGTAGTGTTATTAATTGAATATCTTTGACACTGTTTTTCCTGTAACAGCTGCCCATTTAAATCTTGGCAACCAAACTTCTAATAGAAACTAAACGTAGTCACTGAGGGTGAGATACTCAGAGATGACTGCAAAACACAGAACACAAGTCTTGAGGGAAATGTCTGAGCATAAAAACATTGCTTACCTTCATCTGAACCTAATTCAGTTTGTACAGCAGAGGCACAGATGGCTGTGTATGAGGTCTCCCTTAACTGCATCTCCTTTTCCCCTAATACATAAGTGAAATCACATGCAGGGGTCCTAGATCAGTCCTGTATTTCTGAAAAAGCACTGTAAGGCTGGTCCTTCTTCAATCAGTTGAAGCAGATGCATACACAGGCATGAGAAGTATCTGGCTTTAGAGGTTCTAGGCATTAAAATGTAACAACATCTCCCAGAGGAGTCTCATTTTCTCTGGCACTTTTTTCTGCTTCCATTCTTGATAAATTTTATGGCTTTGAGGTACAACCCTCTCCTTAGTTTTTATCATCATGAAGTCTTTGAGTTACTTATGTCTAAAATACTCCTCTGTGTTTCGTATTTGAGCACACTGCTATTAGAAAGGAAAAAAATATTCTGGAAAGGGAGGAAATGCAGGACCTGTCACCTTTGGAAGTCCAAACCAGTCATTTTAGCTACTGCTGTGTATCAAAAAGCGAAAGTATTAGAAGTTCTCAATCAGAAGACTGCTGATGCATTTCACTCTTGGCCTACAATATCTTCTCTATTTGTGTTCTGCATCTTGGCTGTGGAAGAAATTTGGAAAAAGGGTTCAAAGGTTTCTTTCAGGTATCAGTAAGTGAAAAATCTGAAATTTGTACATAAATAACAAATGTCTCAGCCAATAAATTGCAATTGGAAAGTAAATCTTCTGCTCTAACTTCCTGTATGGTATGGTTTTAATGCATTTTATTAAGCTGAAATATCTTTTAAACTGTTGCTTTTTGCTGGGATGTACTAAAACTAAAAATATGACATGCTTTCAGCACTGTTATTTTCTGAGTTGTGCTTCACCTTATAGGGTTTTAACAAGGTTCATCTTTTCAAATTCTCCATAGCCTGATTTTTATCACTTAACTTGCAGTTTTACAGAGTGTGAAAATAATTCAAATTCAGGCAGCAAATATACCCAGGACTCTCACCCCTCCCTACACCACTCACTCATACACATATACACAATTACATCTTTATTCTAGCAGTATTATTGATCCATTTGTTGTCTAGTTAAATCTCCCCAACAGAACTGTGAACACAAGTTAAATGTGAGCAGTGTTAGCTGGATATAAAGAAAGTTGCAAATCACAGAAGAAGATTTGAGAGAGATGTGCTTAAAATTTCTGGTCCTGGTTTGAGCACATGGTATGAATTCAATAGTTACAATTTCTGTATATTCTTTACAAAGAGGGAATTCCTAGGTCAGCATTAGAGGTGTGGTGGGACCAGTTTGAATGCGTATTAATCTAATGCAAATCCTGATCCTTTGTGCAGGCCACCATCATCTTTCTACATGGAATATCACTGAACTCACTTTGCCAGATGATTTTTCCTAGTGATTAATCAATTTTTTTAAGACATGGAACCTGGCTCATCCCATCACATTTCTCTACAAGGTTGGGTCCTTAGAAGCTGAGTTGGAAACTGATGGTCAGTAACTTGTAATAAATAAATAAAGTGTTTAACACTAATATTATTTCTATATTTATTAAACTGTAATGAAACCATCTATTTTTATTTTTAAAATAAATTGATTGATTAATTAAATAAATAAAAATTTAATTTGATTAATTTATTAAACCATAAAGAAACATTTGTGAGTTTCATTCTTTCTAACAGTGATTCTATTTATTGCAATAGCATTAGATGGTGTATGGTATGAAATATATGTCAGATGACACAATTCCTATTAAAGGTCTAGGATATTAATTTAAAGGTGTTTTCAATTCCTTCCAAGGAAAATCAGACAGGATAAAATTCCCTTTTTCCCAGAGTAGCTTCAGTCACACATCACCAGTATAATATATGTCATTTAATAACAACAAGGGCATGAAGGCCAGTGCAAGTTGAACTTATGCAAGTTCATTTTACTTCCCAGTATAAACTATAAAATGTTCATTATATATTCTTTTAGCTATTCAAGATTTAATAAAACTTTTTCCTGTAAGGTGAAGGTCTCTGCTCTTTTTGCTGTTGTTGCTTTATGTTTTGATTTTTTTCAGGACAAAGTTGAGAATGCAGCAGTGTTTGGAAGAGGAGACTACAGATTTTGTTTGATTTGTCATTTTCTTTTTTGAAGTTATTATGAAACTTCTAGAGATATTTGTGCCCAGAGGAAAACCATTATATGAAGATGAATTTTCTTACTGTAAGAATGTGTTTAGTTCAGATGATAAAACAGTCCAAATATTGAAAGCTTGTATAGTGGAGGGATGTCTTCCAAGTCTCTTGGAAAGGATTCTTTCCTCTGAGTTCACAACATTCAGGGCAGGAGGTAATCTTTTGATTCAGCAACCATTGCAGGGAAGATGTAACATCAGTCTAGTGAGGCAAAATGAAAAATGTCCAATTGGGATACCTTAGTGAAAGATGACGGGGATACTTTAATCGACGTCACCACTACATAACCTCTGAAAAAACACAGCACTTTACTTAGTTTTCTAAAAATGGATTTGTGTAACCGACTGAGAACGTTTGTTCAAGAGCATAACTTCTGCTATTCCTTTACATTTGTAGAGAAGGATGAAGAGAGGCAAGCAGAAATGCTGAGCAGAGGTTTACTATACTTTTGACTGTATTATGCTATTTCTAGGAAGCGGATGACAAAGTTGGTTGGATTTTTTAATATGAAACTGAACATATCTTACCAACTTGTTGAGTGTTCAGAGTAACTACGTACATGCCTTACTAGCTACTTAGCTACGTAACTAAAAGAATAGTTGTAACAAACAAATATTGAAGTTCCTAATTTCATAATTTGTTAGGATTGAGTAGTAGATAAGGAACCAGACAAAATACCACATTGAGAAGAAAGACCGTGAGGGAGAGGAATTTCCTCATATTCCATACTCTAGGTTTGTGGAATTTAGTTATTTTGTAGGTATTGTTGCCTTTTGCTAAAGTCGACTAGTACTTGTTTTCTTTTCAAGATATTGGTATATATATTTGTGGGGGGAAAAACAATAGCCAAAGGCCAAACCAACTAACAAAAAAACAAGGCCCAGAATATAAGAAAAGTACAGTTCCCAGTACCTCAGCCTGTCAGCTTCAACAGTATTCAAAGATTTTCCAGGCGTTGTACAATACAATATTGCTTTAGAAGTGTCTATTCCAAAGCGAGCGGACATTTTTGAAGCTTGATATAGAGATAGTGCAACATTAAAATTCATTTAGTTGATTTAAATGACACTTCTATTTTTTTTTTCCCCTTAAAATAATGGGACTGAGGACTGTATCAGTGATGTTCCTTGTTACTTACTACCAGATCTCAAACTGAGATTATACAGCCAGTCTCTCCAATCCTGATTCCACTGAAGCCCATGTCCAGTCTAACACTGAATTCACCGGGAACACAATGTATTAATCAGTCACCATTTTATTGCTTCATAACTTTGAGGTGAAATCAAAACACTTTTTTCTTGTAATTTCTAAGAGACATGATGATGTATTATGCTGCCTTGGCTCCATCACTCAGAAAAGTTCATCTGAAGTCCCAATTGTGCTGAATACTCACTTCTTGCTTTAGACACACTGACTTCCTTGAGACTCATTTAGGCCACACAAAAGGCAAGACAGTTCTCTCCATTATCAAAGCATTGTAAATTAGCTGGCAAAAAGGTTTAGAAATCATCCCAGTCACCTGTGTTTTCCTACTAGCCAGTAAAGGCTGTTGCACATTGAAGAGAGTGAATATTATGGCTCCCTGTTTATCTTCTTATCTGCTTTGGCTCACTGTTCTGAAGATCCTAATCTGTACATGTGATAAGGAATCCTACATGAGTCCTGTTCCAGGACCCTGAAAGTCCTTTACTGATTCTACTTTGAGAACTTTGGTTGTAGATTTTGGTATTTTTTTAAAATAAAAGTTTATTTTCTTCTAATTTAGCAGTCATAGATTGGAAACCCATTCCCTTTCATTTTTGTCTAAGATGTCTATAACATCTTTGTCATTGTATCTGAATTATTTTCTATTTAGTTGTCTTTATGAAATTTCCTTTCCCTACTGTCCTTTGAAGCTACTTGAGATAGATAAAAACAGTGTACTAGCATTGAGTAAGAGAAGCTGTTGGGTAAGTTAAGAATTAAGAGAGGGAAACTTATTTGTTCATGGCTCGAGTCTTCTTTTTTCCCTGCATGAAGATGATTTGTGATTCCTGACCCACAACTACTCTGTGTGTCCTGCTATGAGCAAAGTTAGTATGGAAACCACCAGGGAGAGCACAGCTACATCAAGGAGAGCCCAGAGGATGCTTCAGTCAGCCTGTATTTGTCTCTAGAGGTCTCCCAACATTTCTTAATTTTGATAGTCCAAATGTATGCATTCGGTACCTCTGTCAGCTGCCTTCAACATGTGCTCTCTCCCTTCCTGGTCTTCCAATCATGCCATGGCCCTCAAAATTAGCTGTGTAACATTTGGGTTTTATGGTTCACAGATACAATTCTTTCTTGTTGCTATTTAACATTATCATACTGTGTCAACAGACCTTAATACAGCTCATCTAGGAAGATTTGTTGTTACATTTATAGGAGCTATTTGGGGGAGAAGTACTGGGTAATGCAGTTTGTGTCATAATGGGTAAATCTGGTGACTGCAAATGAGTGTTTAATTGGTGTACTCCATGAACACATTTCCAAGCAAAGCATATGCAAAATTGAGTGATATTAAAATCTCTGTGCAGTACTTCTTCACAGAAAAATGGAAAGCCCACAAACATTTGTACAATGGTCTTGCTCTGCTCCTTATAGTATCTCAGAATATGTCAGCTGCAAAAACATCCATGCCAGGTTTCTTTCTTCCTCAGTGCTGATGGCTGCCTGACTGTCCCAGCTTTTGTGAATGGGATACAGAAGTGGTTTTGGGGGGTTACTCAGCCTGTTTCATATTGTCATTTTAGTCATGACTTCAAAGTGGCTTTGTCTAATTTGCATTAGTATAGTGAGAAGACAGATTCACTCACTGAATCAGGACCGTATAACACTTTCCTGTTAGCGTGATCCACGTGTAGACTGAAGCAGAATAGGATGGCATGCCATACCACCCATTCTGATGTGAATTTAGACCTATTTTCCCACTCTGTGGGAGGAGAATGTGGCCGCATTCAGAATGCCAGCAGGAACTCAGCAGGAGCTGCTGCCTCTCAGGCACAAGATAGAGGCAATCAGGTCCTTCCTGCGGATGCTGTGGAGCTGCTTGGTTTGGATTGCTTCCTCTCACGTCAGTGGGATGCTGTCGGTCCTGCCCTGAGGAAAGGCAGTGGGTCCTGGCCTGCAGCCAGCAACCTGGCAGCAGCCAGTAAGTATCTCTCATGCACCTTGCTCCTGGGAATGAAGAGTTTCCGCTCACTCGCGCATTTTAAACACCAAATGTAAAAGATTAAAATGGCCAGCCTTGTTTAAAGCAACCAGACCCTGAGGCATCCAGGCAATCAGAAAACCTTAAAGGGCAGTTAGCTAGGGGAGAAAGCTTCACAGGAAAAGCTCTTTGTGAAAACCTGCAGGAAAACAGGAACATACAGTATCTTGAACAAACAGTCAGTAATGCTGTTGTACCCCAGCTAGTGTCTGATAACTAGGAACCCCAGACTGAAGAGAGATTTGGTTATGTAGGGGAGTGAGAAAATGCTGTTTCTAAATATCTATTCAGATTCAGTAGAAAATTGTCAGAGATTTGGAGGCAATAGGGTTTTTCATAGGGTACAATGTGTTATGAAGAAAATTAATTCCCAAGTCATTAGTAAAGATGCATTTTTCATATGATAAGTCTTTGAAATCATATAGTATTCTTCTTGAAATGTATATATTGGATATTTTAAAGAATGAAATTTGAAACTTGTTTCAGGGCTAATTTTGTGGCTAGAAATGTCTTGTATTTTTTAAAACTTTCATTAAAATATTAAGAGGCATGTGATCATGGTCATTTTTTGTTTAATGAAAATAAATCAAAGCATTCCTTGTTTCCAATTTTGGTTGTTAACTATGTTTTAAAGTAGATTTTTTTTTTTCTGAGTGAATGGATTTGTGTGGGCACTTTTAACTTTTGAATGAGGCCCCTAAAATTTGTAGTATTTGTTTTAACTTAGGGAAAATTTCTTGAAGAAAAATGAAATTATTGAAACCATTATGCAACAATGGGAAGAAGCTGTTGAGTCCTTTTTAGCAAGGTAACTGTAGGAAGGAATTATTACATTTTCCTGTTCATTTAGCTTTCAAATATCAGACCCAGATGGAAAGCAAGGAGGACCATGGCTGTGGCCTTAAATGAGACAGTAGCTTCTTTTTGAAGAACTATATTCAACCATCAAACAGCAGCTGGATAAAAAACAGATCAACAAAAAGCTGTGAGAGTGATCAGTCACTCAACAACAATGGGCTAAGAAAATTTAATGAAATTTTTTCAGCCTAAAAGATACTGAGAGAAGATGTAAGAGATCATTAAAAAAGGCAAGCAGATTATGGTCACTTACTTGCTGCAGGTAAGAAATAAGATATCATGGCCTTACCTTTAAATAACCAAAATTTAAGGATGGATATCAGGAAGCTTTTTTGGTGGTAAGCAGAGTGAAGGAGAGGAATAGATTATCTGTGTGATGTCACAACTTTCTCACTGGAAGATCTGAAGAACTGGTCATACAGTCCAAAATAGTTTGTACTGCAGGACAGTCTTGTCTCCTATGTCTGGTTAAGCCCTTGCTGTGCCCAATTATCTCAGACAAAATAATCCTCATCTCCTTCCCATTCCATACCTTGTTTTGGCTTATGTCCAGATTCCTTTCAGTCTTATTTTTTGGTGATCTGCTGCAGAAAATAGACAGAGACAAGTTTGAACTGAGAGCCAAACTGGTTGGTATCATGCTCCTTCTT